AATGATGCGCTATTGATATATATATATATAATGTCTTTGAAAACTATTGCGAGTGTAAACGTTTGTTCAACATAGAATGCATATTAATTGTAATCATAAGTGCACACGCATGGAATCATTTTTCTTCAGAAGAAAAAGATATCAATGAACAGGCGACGAGAAATCATTTTGATCGGTCAATGCATACTATCTTTTCAACAGCGAACTTTTTTTTCTTGTTCTGTTTCTCTCTCTCTCTTTGTCCATCGGTTAGTGATCTATTCTCTGCCTATTGATCGTGCACTTGTTCTGTTGTGACCTTACTATCTTTTCTCTCTGAGTGAAAAACAATCTCACTATAAATTATTTCTTCATTATTTTCAAATGATTGATCCTGATAATTTGAATTCTGGACAAATACAACGGAAATTACGAGCCAAAGAATTTATTTTGGTGAACAATCCCAAGGCAACTCATGAACTTTGGGTAAACGATATTTCTCTGGTGGGGCAAATCAACGACAACGGAAAACAACAAATATTCGATGGGTGGGCTGTTTGTAAACATTGTTTGATTGCATATCGAACTCATTCAAAAAAAGAGGCTTCTCAAAATCGAAAAAACTATGGCTTAACTTCATTACATGCACATGTCAAGGAGTGTCGCACTTCCTGCAGCAAAACTCCATCTTTGACGTCAACAAGTGTGGAACCAAAAGAATCAGTTCCTGTTCAAACACTCATACCTCGATTTGCATATAATAAAAATCAATTAAATGAAAATTTACAAAAACAACTGAAAGATGCAGAACTCAAATTTGTAACGGCTGGAAGCCACTCGTTCAATGCTCTTGAAAATGATGGTGTCCTCGATCTGGTACAAACTGCCATCGACATTGGTGCCCAAATGGGTAAGGTGAAGGCTCGTGATATTTTTTATGGTCGAAAGACAATACATAATGAAGCAATGATTAAATTTAATCATTTTTCAAATACAATTCGAACAATTCTGGATGAACCAATCAAAAGTCATTGTGTTGCTGCCACATGCGACATGTGGACCGACGATTATATGAAACGTTCTTACCTCGATTTCTCGGTTTTCTGGGCCGCAGACGAATACAAACTTTCTCATTGCTTATTACGATGCAAGCACTTTACCGAAGACAGTAAAACAGGTGTAAATATTTGGCAAGAAATTAAATCAATTTTTGAATCTTTCAATTTGTCATTCGGTGACACACCCATCGTCACCGATCAAGGAAGTAACATGGTTGCGGCTTTCAATATCACGCAGGAAGCTCGCATTCCATGCATGGCTCATCGATGTAATACTACTTTTGAAACTGCTTGGACCAGAGAAGAAACAAAAAATCCAACATTTGCTATGTTCAACCTTGCGATTCGTGAATTACGTAAGTATGCCAATCAAACAAGTGGTATTCAAGAAAAATTACCAAAGACATTGAAAGGTGGTTGTGGCACGCGCCCTTGGCGATCATATTTTACTATTCATGATTCATTAAATAGTTCTTTTGAAAAACTTAATATTATACTACGTGAAAGGCAAGAACAATACCGGTTATTTAACATCGATCCAGTTTTATTGAACGAGATTGTCCTATTGATGACTCCATTTTCAATGATTTTCGACAAGCTCGAAATGGCCAATCAACCCACTTTGCAAAACGTGGTACCCAGTTATTACCGTATGGTGAACGATACTCGGGTTAATACGAACGATCACACAATAATCAATGAATTAAAAACTGAAATTCGATTTTGTCTTGATGAGAAGTATTTATCGTCGATTTTACAAATTCATTGGGTTGGTACGTATTTAGATCCATCATTAAAATCTTTTTTTTTCGTTTCAGATCGCTCGTATCTGGCAACACAAAAGAAAGAAGTTCGAAAAGGTCTTCATATTCTGGCATCTGATATTATTCACCATTCGGACAGTTTTCAATCGTCACAGCATTCATCTGACAATTTACCACCAT